TTATTATTATTATTTATTATTTTGAATGTTCTAAAATTTTAGCCCGGTTACTATGGTACTAGAGGTGCAAGTATTATTTTTAAGACTCTTATTTCTCTTTTCATTGAATCAAAGATGTTATCATTAGCTATGACATCTCTTCAAAAATCTTTGAATTATCTTGTTGAAGTTCATATTCCGGAAACTGCTATTAGGTTAATAGCTGAAGATCGAAATATTTCACTAGATGAGGCAGCAAAGGTGATGGGAGATAGTATAAATTTTGGACTGTATATTCATGATATAGAGAATGATGACTTAAATGAAATCACTACCAAATAATATTGATATATGTGATTTTTTAATATTCAATTACAATAAAGAGTATCGATTTAAATTTGAAGAGTGGTTAATTTTGTGTTGTTTGTTCATTCAGTCCTTTATAAAAAGATAATGTTTAACTAGATTATCTAGACTTATATTAGTAAATTTAAATAATTACGGATCTGGTGAATGACAAATGTTTTGTATAGTTGAGCCACACTAACTTTATTTGCAAAATACTTTAAAATATTTATAGATAATTACCAAAGAAATTAAGTTACAAGCCTCAGATAGCAAATGATCAGGAAGTGTGAACTCAACTTTTGCAATTCGTTTATATGTTTCAGTAAAACCAGTTTCTTCAAATAGAGTGGTACCTGTCAAAAGCTCATAGAACAAAACACCAAGTGACCAAAGATTTATCTTTTCATCATGTTCTTTACCTTCAATTATTCGGGTGGAACATAATCCAAAGTACAAAATGTTTTTTGCTTTATATATAAAAAGCAAAACTAATCAAAAAATTCTTTTAAAGTAAATGACATAACTTCTTATTGTAGCATATCTTTGAGACTATCCAAAATCTACAATATTGATCTCATCATTCAAATCTAACAAATTTTCTGGTTTTATATCTCGATGAATAACGTGTTTTTTGTTAATATAACTTAAAGGTTTAGAAAGTTGTTTAAAGATATTTTGGGTCTATTAAATATAAAATGTTAATTTTTAATGTATTTTCATTATTATCTAATGGATGGACTAATTGTGATATCTTTCTTGTAATTTTCATTCTTCTCTTGATTCATTATTTTTTTCTGTTAGCCCCTGTACGCATTTATTCAGGAAACTTATTTTGAAGCAAAGTGTTAAAATTTTCACTAATATATTTTATACAAAGTGAGATCGCATGTGTGTTATTTTAGACCAAATTTAGCATTAAGAGCGATTAAGATCGCATGGACAGTAGGCCCAATTTTTGGAAATTTTATTTTCGGGTCCCTGCTGGAATTTTGATGATTCAAGTTTAACTGGTGATTTTTATACTACATTGCGATTTGCTTTTTCAAGCATCACAAAGCGGTAATAATTTCGTTAAGAAAACGATTATTACGCCAATTTTTTTCTAGTGTTGTCTAATCAATATTTCTGATGACACAGTTTATGATTTCCATAAATTTTTATTTTGGTTGACTACGGCTTTTATCGCAATGACAAAAAAACAAGATTTGTGACTTTTTTCCTTAATGGGTTCATATTTATTTTTTTGAATTAATATTTATAGTTAAAGAAGCAATACACAAAATTAATTAAATATACATAACAATAAGAAATTTTTTTGCTCATGTCATATAAACTTATAAAATTTTACAATATATACATTTCAAATTTCATGTAATTATAGAAAAATTAAAATATAAACTGGGCGCTTGAGTTGCTCAAAGGGAGTTTGAAATGAGTGTGTATTGTATTATTA